CAACCTGCGTTATGTAGCGAACAGTAATGATGACACTCCTAACAGACTAGACAGATTCTGCTGAGAATAACTTAACTCTTCTTGATTCAGGCATTACTGATTTCCTAATATGCAGAACTTATACTTTTTTTCATTTTGTCTCTCTGTATTCGGGGTTCATCGTCTCAGTTAAGCATTTTATCGACAGAATTATTTTTTTTACAAAATTGGATTCAAATTATTATTTATGAGAGTACTTGGAAATCAGGACTTAGATAAAAATGTTAAGTTGCATAATGAGATAATTTTGATTTGGATGTTTTCAAAAAAAAATTTTGCTTTTCCCAGCAAAGTAAGTTTATACAAAATCAAAATAACCTGAAACAATAATGGAATTTTAAGGTCTCTAGTTTTTGTTTGTATCGGCATAATTTTATATAAGTTGAGAGTACATTAAATACGGAACAGTTTCAGGAACTGACGGCTTATGAAATTGTTCAAATTCTTACATACCTTTCGTTTGCTATTCTAGCTTGATTTCAAGAAGAAGGTAACGATTTAAAACTGCTGTCCTAGTCTGTCCAAATTTTCGTGTCGAGACGGTAAAAAAGCTGTGATAGTTTTGAGTTGAAAACCATCAAAAAATTCTAAATTCTTCAGTAGATTAATTATCTTCTTTTTAACCTGTTTAATTTATCCGTTGTGGACGATCTATAGCGGGACATATTGTATAAATTTTGTCAATTGTGATAGACTATTTATAGCCTTATAGATGTCTTTATCCGTTTACCTTTTTCGTTAGTTGATGTGTCTTTAATTTATACAGCACATCTCATTTTGTTCACATTAAAAATCTTTAGGAATTCATGAAATTTTCAATGCCTAAAGACGTATCTATGTTAATCTTTGTCCTTTTCCGTTTTCTCTTTCTTATAAATAACAACTATTGTGCAGTTCAGTAATAATAAAAAAAATAATTTAAAAAAAAGTAAACAAGAATATTTTTTTATAAACAAATAGTGCAAAATAAAGATACAAACTAAAGACCACTTTCATGAAAATATCAATATTTACAACATACATGTACAACATACATGTACAACGTTGTCGGAGACAATGTTATTTAAGTTAAGAGCTCTAGGAACAGGACGAGAGGAGAGCGCTGGTCGATGTGTATATCAGCTATCTATTATCTGATTTGGCATGATACAGACACTATAATTCATGACAACATAAAGGTTATTAAAATTGCTGTTAATAACTACTTATTTTTAACTATAAATGAATATACTATTTTCAAGACTTTAAAGAATAAGACTGAAAAAGATATCTTTAATAAAGAATTAAATGTTTTAATTGTTACATGTATTTTATTAGGGCGTAAATCGATGACAGGAGCATGTTTTGTATCAAGCGCGAAAGCGCTGTTCGGGAAGAATTTGTACACGATCAACGTTTTCACAACCCTATAGAATTGCATAAAGAAGCATGCAATTTTTGTTATTAAATTTTATGCTGAAACCATGTTATAAAGTGTTATACCAAATATGCGTTATGTTTTCCTATGCATTGATGTGACAATGTCACCGGTATCGCGTGCTTTCAAGGTTGTTGAGATTTTGGGGAAATAAAAAGATTTTGGAATGTCTTTCGATTGCTGTCAGTCAATCAAAAGTACGGATTCTTCCCAAATATACATGTAAATTATGTAATTATTCGTATTATAATTACAAAAATATAATTGGTGTATATTCATTTATTGCTGGTAAATCAATTCTTTAAACGCATTTAAGTTTATTACATATAACCCATACTTAAGTGCATATTAGGGATTGTTTTGAAGTGGATGTAAGGTATGATAAAACACCTTCTCTTATGGTAGTGGCCTGTTATCTATTTCTTGCATGAATAGATTATTCTAGTATCACAGGGCACAGCGTGTGATACGAAAAAGTGGTACGAAAATTTGCGTTAATCTGATTGGCTTATCCAGTATCACAAAACGATATTACGGCATTTCAATTGGCTATTCGTTAGGTCATTGATAACTTTCAAAAGTTAAGACGATATAAAAATGAAGATGTGGTATGATTACCAATGAGACAACTCTCCACAAGAGACCAAATGACACAGAGATAACAACTATAGGTCACCGTACGGCCTTCAACAATGAGCAAAGCCCATACCGCACAGTCAGCTATAAAAGGCCCCGAAATGACAATGTAAAACAATTCAAACGAGAAAAACTAACGGCCTAATTTATGTACAAAAAATGAACGAAAAACAAATATGTAACACATAAACAAACGACAACCACTGAATTACAGGCTCCTGACCTGGGACAGGCACATACATACAGAATGTGGCGGGTTAAACATGTTAGAGGGATCCCAACCCTCCCCATAACCTGGGACAGTGGTGTAACAGTACAACAGAAGAACGAACTATAAAAAATCAGTTGAAAGAGGCTTAACTCATCAGATGGATAAAAATACAAATTCTACAATTACAAGTGGACGTGGCCGGGTACTTGTACATCCAAACAACAAAAAGACACTAAGTACAGATCTGAGAGTACTCGCAGTTACTGACAGCTAGTTTAAAGCCACTAACAACTAATAAAAAAATCATGCATCTAAGACTAAATTATCAATCCGTACACCTCCAACATCCAATGGATTTAGTGTAAAGACGTCATAAACAGTCAGAAAAAGCATGACCTTGTGCAATGCCAAGATACAGGTATCGACAGATTGTAGATTCCATGAATGTGTATATGTATATAACAATTAAAATTTAGTTTGCTTTTAATTTACTGATAACAAAATCAATATCAGTACCAATAAAAACTATATTTAATGATCTAATTACAGTGTTGAATTGGTAACCTTTTAGAATAAGGTTATTTAAAGGATCGATAAGTTTACCAGGATCGTTTCTAAATTTCCGGGTACGGTAAACAATATTGCCGTAAAAATGAGGATGTGCAATCCCGTTTGAAATAAGTTTTCTACAGGATGTACATTTCGTCCATGGCAACGGACATATGTGATTTCTTCAATAATATACAAAACACTTACACATTTCACCAAACAATCTTCTTTTATATTAACGTTTGACACCGGAAAAGGACATATGACGTCATACAGGAATGTGCAAAAGACTAGATCAACATTTTGCGAATTTTTTAATTTACACATTGAGAGTGTTGACCATAAGAGAAATAGGTTTAACAACTTTAGAAAATTGGATATCGCTTGATATCAACTCTCGTTATCTAATTTAAATAGTAATAATAAACTCTTCGAAGGCTTGTTTATTATAATATTGAAATTAAATAACTCGAGTTGATATAAAGCGACATCCCATTCTCACTCGTTATGAAACCTATAATTATCGCTATTTAGTTAATTAATCCGGCAAAAACAGTTACTTAGACAACATCCTGTTAAGCTTAAGTGTTTCAAAACAAAGGTCATCAGCAATCAGCTGAGACAGTGATAAGTTTACGGGGGTGTTAACTTATCTATGAAAAGTTTTGTGCACATTACATTGTTTGAACAGGGCCCCAGATGGCTTCAAGAGGGATTGTACTTGATTTTCATATGATGAAGACCTAATCTTTCAATCAGTTTAATTGAGATTTCACCGTTTGGAGCTGGCATGTCAGTAACTGCTAGTAGTCCTTTGTTCATTTATGTATCATTGTCATTTTGCTTAGTTTCTTTTGTTACCTATTCTGACATCGGACTCGGACTTCTTTTAAACTGAGTTTTACTGTGCGTATTACTATGCGTTTCTTTTTTCTACATTGACTAGAGGTATAGGGGGAGGGTTGAAATCTCACAAAACATGTTTTACCCCGCCGCATTTTTGCGCCTGTCCCAAGTCAGGAGCCTCTGGCCTTTGTTGGTCTTGTATGTTTTTTTTTTTAATTTTAGTTCATTTATATGTTTTGGAGTTTAGTGTGACGTCCATTTTCACTGAACTAGCACTCAATTTTATTTAGGGGCCAGTTGAGGACCACCTCCGGGTGCGGGATTTTCTCGCTGCATTGAAGACCCACTGGTGGCCTTCGGCTGTTGTCTGCTCTTTGGTCGGGTTGTTGTCTCTTTGACATATTCCCCATTTCTATTTTCAATTCTATCAACTGGTTTGAAAAAGTTGTGTCATTTTAGAACTTATCCGGATTGGATTAACTAGCGATAAGGTGTATTCCAGCTGATGTTTATGACATTCTAGCAGCTTACAGAATAGGAGAAGTTGTTTAAGGTATTGTACTGTACTGTACGTTTGACTGACGTTTATTGCCGTATATCTATCGTTAAAGATGTACATAGGTGAAGATAAGCAATGTTTGTCAAATGTTCGGACTCCCCTCTCATAATTCAAAGTACTGGATAATAGGAAGTACCTGTCCGACTGATCCGGTAAACTATCACAAATTTAAACTCTAACTTGAAAAGCTGCTGATTAAGTATGAATTCAAACTGTTCACCAGTATTTGAGAAAAGTGTGACAAAATATTTATGATAATGCAACATTTTGAAAAAAAAATCAAAATATTACCAAACAGGAAGTATCTAGTGGACAACAATCACACCTTGTAACTCCTCACTATGAGGCTACTGACCAAATTATGAAATATTTTAGTTCAATAGTACTTGAGATCAGTGTGACTAAAAATATATATGTCATTTAATATATTGAAAATGCAAAGTATCGGCAAACAGGAAGTAAGTGTCCGAGAGATCCGAAGAGTGCTCACACGTTACAAGTCATTACTGCCAAGTGCTGACCAAATATTTAGCAATTTTTGTATGTAATACACGAGAGAAGCATGGAGTAAATATTTGTTGGACTAACGGTTTTTTGAACGCAGGAACAAGGTGAATGCATTACAGCCCTCTTCTCTCCCAATTTTAGAGTCAGACTATAATTGTATATAAAAATACAGAATGGAAGAATAACAGTTATATATTCCAATAAACGGTAGGCAGAAGCACGTTAACAGAAACGGGTGTTTTTTACAATTTTAATTCTTCTATTCAGATGAAACATTTTTAAGATTAAAGCAATTAAAACATTCGTGTATCAGTTAAATATCACATAACAATAGATGGCAACTGATTTGATGAATAATGATTGGTTTTCAAGCACATGTAGTGTTTTAAGAACAGGAAAAGGAACATATATGTAATTGTCACTTTGTTCGTGTCATCCATTATCTACAATGTACATTGGTCCTTTATGAAATGTGATGCGGCGTCGTATGGTCCAGCAAGAGTGTTTTGTTGCATGTCAAAAGTATAGTACCTGTATGAAAAGAACAGACACATTAGAATGTATATATGATAACAAGTTGAAAACATTTTTCAATACGGTTTATAGATTAGAGCAAAATAAATAGAAACCTCCAAGGAATCCGTATGTTACTCTTCTTTAAAAAAGTTAAAACAAATATACAATAATGACACAACCACATCAGTCGGTCCATTATTTTTATTTACCCTACCCACCCCTTTTATAACGAAGAGAAACAATAACAATCATCCCTGTGCGTGCTCATAGGTTTCTGCTCAGTCGACAATTATCGATTGTAGTGTATAGCACATTTTTTTAGAGGCAGGGATTTTTACCAAGAGGTCAAAAAAGAGGAAAACAGATAATTTGAAATTTAACAGAAAGTTCTCTTGATCCTGTAGTATTTTATGTAACCAATATTTCTATATCCAGTAACACTATTGGGGAAACCAGTTAGGTTTTGGTCAGTAAAGACATGTAAGAGCTGCTGAATTGATACGGCGAAGCGTGCAGTTATCAAATGATAATGCTACATTTTTTTCATTCTTCATGAATAACAAATATATGGTTTTTTATAGTTGATTGCTTAAAAGATCATAAGAAAATAATTTATGTAAGTACAGAACAAATTAATAATTAATGACTGCTATTGGATATTCGTTGGGTCATTGATGAATTTGAAAAGTCAAGAACATGTACATTTCGCCCATGACAACGGAGATTTGTGATTTTTTAAATGACATACAAAATACTCCACTTTTCATCTGAAAATCCTCTTTTGTCAAATTTAATTACATTCTGAAGTGTATCTGAAGTTTTTAAATGTCTGCTGTTATGGGCTATCCTAAACGAACTCATCATAAATGTATACCCCCTAGGACTCATCGCATATTATTCGATTCATCTTGATATATAAAATTAGAAAACAAAAATGGTTTATGGAGGGGGTCTCAACCATTTACAAGATATTTGAACATTTTCAAATAGCATGGGGTCAAAATGACACCGTGTGACTTAATCTTGATATACCGGTAACACACGTGTCTATTTATAGTTAAGGATGGATATCCTCAATCATTTCATTTGCAAGATTTTTGAACATAATAAAATGACATGGAGAAGGGATAACCCCTAGGGACTCAATGTACATACCATTCAATTCATCTTGACATGACAAACGATGTTTTTTAATCATTAGATTCTCATGGATCTTTTACGATTTTTGGTTTAATTTGAAAACAAAATGTATTGTTCATGGTCATAGGTGACTATTGACCTATGAGTAGATCATATAATCCCATGATCATTACTGAAGACCCAAATGTCTCAATCACTTCATGTTCTCAAGTTATAAACATTTAAACATTAAAATATAAATGCTCTTTATGGTTCTTAAGTACACCACGCCCTCCTTTTGATTCTTCAAAATTATACTTTAAAACCCAAAACTTTCTTTTTTATACTTTAGGAATCAACTAAGCAATGGCTTACTTTTATATTTTGACTTGGATGGAGAGTTGTCTCATTAGCACTCATACCACATCTTCTTATATCTACATAGAGTTATTATGATCTAATGTTTTGCCAAGATTCGACTTTAGGTATTTGAGATCTGCCGCGACCAGGTTCATAATTGTCAGATCAGAGAAGAAAAAAAAACTTCGTTTGGGAGACTTAATACCTTGAAAAGTTTCTACAGAGTGGGTCACTAGTATAAAGAACGCAAATGCTGACTGAATGAGTAGTAAATGAGGACATGGTATACGGGGGTAGACAAATTGCCTTGCATGAGGCCACTAAAGGACCCCCGAAAGGATTGTTGCAATGGTTTATTCTTATGCAGAGAGCGTGTCATCGGATAAAGTTCCCAATTCAGAACAGCCAACGAACGCAAATGGTTTTGCTGCCTGATAGAAGACCGGGAATTACCATATTTTTCATACTCCAGTCAACCCTTGACGTTCTACTATATATAGTTTGCCTTTCACGAATAAAGATACATTTTGGCAATATGTTGATCACTGTTGGTTCCCCAAACGAATTCCAATGGTATTAAAAATGCGTCCACAAAACGAAATAAATATGTCCTTCAAATAAATTAAGCTTCTTTTTTTTAAAAATAAATTATGAATTATATTTTAACACTTACATATTACTTCGGAAGAAATAAACTGTAGCATCATCGTAAAGCATAGCTGAATCACATTCTTCTGTTAATCCTGGAAACTGTTCTGTAATTAGCTTCTCAGAATCAGCAACCATACGTCTGGTTGATAAATCTATTTGCCACACTTTAGTTGACTGAAAATATAAAGAATATCAAATGAACTTATTATAACTTCAATATATTTATTATTAACAAATTCAACATCCATGTATACGGGCAGCTATATGTGGAAATCTTCTCAAATGATCTTTAAAAAACAATCGGCGATTGACTGTCAAAGTCCTGACATGGTAAGGAAACTTTTAAAACATAGTGGTTTTGAATAAGCAATTATGCTTTACAGAGCTCAAAACATCCGTGTTTATTTAACTGTTTATAATATATTAAAACCACCCGAAAACTCAGTTTTTCTAACTATTGCACTGAACTAGGTTAAACAGGATTTGCCACAAATTTGGTGTTCAGCTTTAGTTGCTCTTAAATTGCAACTTCTTATTTTATTTGATCTTCCAACTGTTTTTATTCGAGCGCCACTGACGTGTTTTATGTAGACGAAACGCATGTGTGGCGTTCTAAATGATAATGCCTCGTATATTTAATAATTTTTGTTATACTTTCTGTGAAGTGTTCTCGGGATTTTATCGATTAATCTAAGCGAATTTAATCAAAAACGTTTCATCATCATTTTCAAACAATTATGATATACATATGTATGTTGTCGCCATAATTTCCGGAGTTGATATATCTCGTAACAAAGAAAAGTACACGCCTGTCATACAATGTACATTGTACTGGTAATCGTTATCAAGATTTACACGGTTCAAATGTGATATTTTCATACTTACACCAAGGATATAAACTCGATTTTCGTTCATAGCAAATGCAGCACGTGGTCTCTCGGGCATACTGCTTCGTCCTCCTCTGATCCAAAACATCCTTGTACGTCTTCCCTCCGAGTTGAATTCATACACTCTTCGTCCTGTTCGTAAATATGAAAACACGTAAAAAAAATACCCTTTGTCTATCGTTGGCTCAATAGCAATGATGGCAAAAAATAATTTCAAGTTGTGTAGTCTACGTTGTTAGTTTGTTTGTGGCTTGATGGTGTGTTTTATACACACATGTTTTGTATTTGTTTAACTAAAGCAATATGCCTAATTAATTTTGTATCGTGCTTGTTTACTCCCAATGTTAATGCGGCTGCGCAGGAGGAAATATCAATCTACTAGTACATATTTTCTCTGACGCCGATCTTGGGTCGTATTAATGCTTCATGTCTGGTATAGAGCAGCATATGCCAGTTTTAAAGCCATTAGCTTAACCCGGTTGAGGATTCGTCCCTCAAACTGCTGCACTTGAGGCCAATAAGATACTACAACAACACTGTTAGAGCGGTCTTGGCGAAATAACAAAAGAAAAATTGAAGCAAAAGTAATTTAAAAAAAAATTAGGCGAACAATATAACGATTTTTAAGCCCAATACGAAGTAAATTTGGAGCAGGATACCCCTCCCCCTTTGCCCCCGACAAAAAAATATAATATTTTGATATCGGTATTTAAACGTTTTGACTCGAGAGTCAAGTGGCCAAGGGCAGAATAATATTGAAACTGAAGTAAGCAAAATATGTATTCTGCTCATGCAACAATACGCAAACGTGTTTTGCAAATAAAAATAAAAATGGGTTTTGCACTCTCAAAACGGGAGTTCTTTATCTCATAGTTAGTGAGGCCTTCAACACGGAGCAAAACAAACTCTCACCTCACTGCAAGTTTAAGACGTTCCCTAGCACTGGCTTGAGCAGAATTCTTTGCATAAATAATTCGGATAGTCTTTACTGAAGTCCGTGAAACTATCAACAAGTCAAATAATTAGGAAATATTAAACAACGAAAAAACAATTTACCAAGTATACATGGTTACCCAATGCGGACGTACCCCGTAAAAAGTATGTTTTATCTGTCTGTGGTATCCTAAACACACTACTATGTCGTCGTGGAGCTCCTCGAAACAATCTGCTTGTTAATGTTCCGCGTTCTAATCCATTTTCCTCATCCAATACCAATACAAAACGACGTAACAAAAAGAACAAATAGTTTCCATCTGCATCTTTTGAAAAAAAAAAAAAAACATAGTTAAAACATTATATTTATGTTTTTCTTTCTACCCTCAAAATATGATCAATCATTTCAGTATAAATATTCTTGGTCATAAATATTGTTTTTTGTCGAGCCTGCGACTTTTGTCACAGAAAGCTTGACATAGGGATAGTGATCCGGCGGCGGCGGCGGCGGCGGCGTTAGCTAACTTCTTAAAAGCTTTATATTTTAGAAGATGGAAGATCTGGATGCCTCATACTTTGTATATGGATGCCTCATGTTACGAAGTTTCCGTCAGTCACATGTCCAAAGTCCTTTACCTCATTTTCATGGTTCAGTGGCTACTTGAAAAAAAAGTTGAGATTTTTTTAATGTTAAATTCTCTCTTATTATAAGTAATAGGATAACTATATTTGGTATGTGCGTACCTTGCGAGGTCCTCATGCCCGTTAAACAGTTTTCACTTGACCTCGACCTCATTTCATGGATCAGTGAACAAGGTTAAGTTTTGGTGGTCAAGTCCATATCTCAGATACTATAAGCAATAGGTCTAGTATATTAGGTGTATGGAAGGACTGTAAGGTGTACATGTCCAACTGGCAGGTGTCATCTGACCTTGACCTCATTTTCATGGTTCAGTGGTTATAGTTAAGTTTTTGTGTTTTTGTCTGTTTTTCTTATACTGTATGCAATAGGTCTACTATATTTGGTGTATGGAATGATCGTAAGGTGTACATGTCTAGCTGGCAGGTGTCATCTAACCTTGACCTCATTTTCATGGTTGAGTGGTCAAAGTTAGGTTTTTGAGTTTTGGTCTTTTTTCTAATACTATATGCAATAGTTCAACTATAATTGGTGTATGGAAATATTTTATGATCTATATGTCAGTCACGCAGGTTTTATTTGACCTTGACCTCATTTTCAAGGTTCATTGCTCAGTGTTAAGTTTTTGTGTTTTGGTCTGTCTATAAGCAATAGGTCAACTATATTTGTTGTATGGAAGAATTGTTAGCTGTACATACCTGCCTAGCATGGTTCATCTGACCTTGACCTCATTTTCATGGTTCATTGGTCAATGTTTAGTTTACTTGGTTAATGTTAAGTTTATGTGACAGTTGTAATAAAGCTTTATATTTAGGACTATCAGCATAATATCAATGATTAGTAAAGAAGGCGAGACATTTCAGTGTGTGCACTCTTGTTTCTTATGTTGATTAACCTTAGATATTATCTCTTTGTTCACGATGCCTCCATTCATTTAATATATTCCAATTACAGATTATTTGTCAAGATTTTTTTATGTTTTGTAAAAAAATACAGTGCATTTTATTTCATATTAAAAAAATAAGATCAAAAGTAAAATTTATGCAACCTTTTCGCATGTCCACTGCAGAATGATTTAATTACATAAAATCAATCAAGAAAAAGTCCTCTATTTTGACATTTTTATCATATCCCAAATAAACGATTTATCCATGTCATCATGGTTAAAGCGATATCGAAATAAACATACCTCTGACCGTGGCATCATAACGAAGTTTACAAAGTCTAGGTCTGTTGTCCACTGCTGGCGTCGGTGCAGGTGTTGGTGGTTGAGTTGGTGGCTGTGTTGGTGGCTGTGTTGGTGGCTGTGTTGGTGACTGAGTTGGTGGCTGAGTTGGAGGTTGAGTTTGTGGTTGAGTTGGTGGTTGAGTTGGTGGTTGGGTTGGTGGTTGAGTTGGTGGCTGTGTTGGTGGCTGTGTTGGTGGCTGAGTTGGAGCTTGAGTTGGTGGTTGAGTTGGAGGTTGAGTTGGTGGTTGGGTTGGTGGTTGAGTTGGTGGCTGTGTTGGTGGCTGTGTTGGTGGCTGAGTTGGAGCTTGAGTTGGTGGTTGAGTTGGAGGTTGAGTTGGTGGTTGAGTTGGAGGTTGAGTTGGTGGTTGAGTTGGTGGTTGGGTTGGTGGCTGTGTTGGTTGCTGAGTTGGTGATTGAGTTGGTGGCTGTGTTGGTGGCTGAGTTGGAGCTTGAGTTGGTGGTTGAGTTGGTGCTGGCGTCTGTTGAGCACCTGTAATATAAGTGAAATACATGGTATTAGAATGTTCTTTTCTTAGTTATATGGCGAGACATTAAAACTAAAGAAAAACAATAAAATATAAGTTTAATATCAATGAGACAGCAACCTTCCAAAACAGAAGTGGACAGATTAAAATCAGTCTAAAATGTTGTTTCTTTATCATTTTAACAGAAACAAACGAATTAGTCGTCTGACATTAACGGTTAATTAAGAGCAACACTTTTGCTTTAAAAGGGATCAACTGTTTTTGTTTTCTTCTCATTTACCATTTTCTGCATCAATCCCATTTTTAAAAATAGAAAAACGTTAAATTGTTATCTGCTTGAATAGATTTTAACAATTATTTTATAACAAAGTATTTTATTCTCCAAGTTATGTGTACATATTAAAACTCATACCATATAAGGATCGTATTCCAGCTATATCATCAGGACGGAGTTTGTAGTCGGGTATATATCCGGTGTAAAATGGTGCCATTAAAGCATCGTTATTTTCAGAATGATCCAGCCCAAGAGCATGTCCAAATTCATGGGCACTAACGATAAATAGGTCAATACCGGTTCTGTTTACAACCCATGTTTCACCTTCGTCAAAATGTACTCTTCCATTTTCAGGGAAAAATGCATGAGCAAGAACTCCACCTACGATAACGTAAATCAGTTAAGAAATATTGATAATAAAATATGTTATAAAATTGTGATAGTAGAGGCAAGTATGCAGTCATATTTTATTTATGATGGAAATGCAAATCTAATTTCTCATAATAATGACATGGTTCAAAAATCAGTACAATGTAATTAATTGACATCTTCAAAACTGTGTAGAGGAGGTTAATATAAGTAATATTAAAAGGAAAATTTAACATACATTTTAATGTTATATCAAAGATGTTCCATGACTTATATTTTGTATTCACCTTTTAATACATAGCATATCCTCTGAAATATTTTTGGAAATGTAATGTACAGTTATAATCGTGTTTCTTACACTTTTTTAACAATGCAATTCTCAATTGCATACATCACCATCTTCGCTGGGCGCATTACATTTGCGCGCTTTTGGGGATAAAAATATTTTACGTTTGCGCGCAGCTTTTGATTACATTTGCGCGCATTCATTTTACAGGTAACACATGTAAAAATAAAGATAACTCATAGTAAATATGTTTTTAGTTGTTGTGATAAAATATTTTTAATATCAAATTATATATTTTTTCAAATTGACTTCTAAAAATATATAGTGATCGTGATAAAATCCCGTAATAGCTTAAGACATAAATTGTATTCTTTTTCCTGATTTCATCGAATAGTGATCGATTTAGTAAATAATTTAAGTCAGTTTGTAAGGTTGTGTGAAGACACAAACATGGAGTTTCGTTTGTCATAAATAAATCGGGGGGAAATCATTAATGAACGAATGAATTACTTTCCGTATCGAGAGAACATTTAAGTCCTGGGATATTTCATGGCGACCAAACCGTAAATAATTACAAAGATGTTTCATTAGATTCTCTATTTCCTCCTTGGGCATCACTATGGTCAGAAGAACCCAGGCGTACTACAAACGGCTCGGAACCATTCCGTGCTCACTACAATCAGTAGTTTTATTCAGCACATCCATGTAGTTTTGTGTTTCATAAAGCAGTGGGCTTCAAATATTCAGCACGTTACGACATGTAATATCAGTACATTTAAGGTGGCTCGGGTTTCTACTTCCATCTTTGATTTTGAAGTAGCAGATAACAATTGGTCTATATCTTTAATGAAATCTGCAGATTTTGAGAGTAGTATGTAATTCATGTGTAAGACTTTTCATGTTAATATAGAAAAGTATGTGCTTTTATCATATTTACGGCTGTATTTTCTATAAAACACAATATTTTTGTTTGATTCATTTTTTCAACTTTGCCACATAAGGGGAGATAACTCAGATAGTAGGGGAGATAACTTAGATAAAGTAATTTTTATAATAGAAAGTGTTGTGAATTTACCTATTTTAATATGTAGCAAGAAAACAAGTCCAGTGACTCCATTTTTTCTTTTTCTTATCTGAAAGCATTTTATAAGAGATCTCTTCTCACATTTTATCTTAAAATTCTATGGTGTAGTTTTCTTTTTATCACACAAAATTGGATTTTCCATGCAAAATCTATATAAAATCTGACAATTTTGCACAACCTATAGCGTGAAAAAAAGTCCGGTGACCCATACTTTTTATTATATTTTTGAAAAAAGCATGATCAAAACTACATTTTGACAAATTATTAATAAATTCTATGGATTTTAAATAAGACCCCCGGCCACCTTAATCTTTAGATTTGCTATGTTTTTTACATTTTATCATACTGTATATATTTCCAGGACTAAGCCTAAGGACCAGGAATAAAGCGGACTTATACTGCTCGAAAATAATAGTTAAATAAATAAGTATAATCTACCTGTATTTACCTCAGTTTACCTGAGTTTACCTGTAAAACAAATGCGCGCAAATGTAATCAAAAGCTGCGCGCAAACGTAATGATTTTTGCGCGCAAATGTAATGGTAATGCGCGCAAACGTAATGCACCGTCTTTGCTAGCAACTCCCCTCCTCCCCACAGGATGGGATTGGATGGCAATCCTTGGCTAGCGAATATGATATATGACAGACATTTAAAGTTTCAATTTGTTTTTCTTCATTCAGTTCAAAGTTGTATTTCATTGTTATCATACCGTAAGAATAACAATAGACTATTTTCATATTACCGACTTTTCAAATCCGAGTAATATATATTTTTTGTCGACAGGTTAACTACTCTTTGGTAAGACATTCTCGTAATCAGTCAAGTAAGAGCAACAAAAAGTAGTTTAATCAAACTTACAATCGGTACAATTTGGGGGAAAAAACATTGTTTTATGTTTTCTATAAATAACAAAATCATTGGAGAAAAAAAATCAATTTCAAAAGTAATGCCATTGTTATTCAACATGTGTTGTTGCATGAAATGCTAAGTGACGGTAACTGGTATCTTAGAGTAATGTATCCCTGAACAGTAGAGTAGCTAAGTTAAGTAAATGTAAGTCGCAAATACATCTGAGGTCCCTCATGGAGGTGTCCAAGTAATCACATAATCACAATTATTTTGCCAATATAATCACATAATCATTAATTTTTTTTTAAAACAAGATAATAAAATAATCAAAAATATAGTCATAGATTATCAAATAATCAAATAATCATGAAATATTTTGTCTGGTAATCAAATAATCACCATAAAAATGGCCAAGTAATCACATAATCAATAACTCCATGAGGAGGCTCACCTCTACCGTCAAAAGCGCTACCATCACCGTGACTTCCAGATTCAAATCTAATGTTAAGATCCTGTCCAGTGGTTACCTCTGTAAAGGTCAAATCTGCCACATCAGACCAAGCTAGCATCGATCTCTCTATTTCAGATCTAGGAAGCAGAAATAAAAAATTCTACGAGTAAATAAATTGTTATTTAATAATCTATATAAATACCACTACTCCTGAGTATCATAATGTCTAGTATACAGTTCGTAAATCAATGTTATAATCGGAAAGATGAGGAGAGGATGTGGATGTGCTTCATGAATTTGTACTTGACAGTAGATATTTTGTTGGAATTTGCTTAAGGTGGTACCAAACACCTTGACTAAAATTGATTTGGCTTGTTTAATTTTCATATTTTACAAATTATTTACTTTGACCCTTTGACAAATATATAAAAAAAAAAATTATTAAAAATTGAACCACACACTTTATCGGAAATTTTATTGGATATATAGCAGTTTGCCAAACACTAATTTTGATCATAGAGAAGCTTGATATTTCCCTAACAATAAAACGTGATTAAAACGTTCAGCTGATTTTTACAGAGTTTTCTCCCTTTAGTGATATGAACCACCTTAATTTATTTACCAATCGGCTGAAGACCAAAAAGGACCCCGTCAATATGTTTCAATTTTATATCAACAGAACAGGTTGCACTCAAAGGGACCACTTCTATATCTTTCAAAGTTTTTCAGAGGAACACGATGCACCCTAAGGGACCACGTCGAAATGTTTTTAAAATAATTCAGAGGAACAGGGTGCACCCAAAGGGACCACGTCTATATCTTTCAAAGTATTTTTAGAGGAACAGGATGCACCCAAGGCACACGTCTTTATGTTTCAACGTATTTTGAGAGGAACAGGGTGCACCCTTAGGTCACCCCTTCTATATCTTTCAAAATTATATTGAGGAACAGGGTGCACCCTAAGGTAACTCCATATATACGTTTCATAATTATATCAGAGGCACAGGGTGCACTCAAAGGTAACCCCATCTATATGTTACAAGTACATGCTGAATATAGTGATTCAGTATAAACGTTATCACCATGCTTCTTAATGAATTAATTTCGGAATAAAATATATTTACATTGTAAGGTTAGTTGTTCCAAATTGTTTTCGAGAAATTCGCTTTTTTAGAGCCGTGTTTTTACCTGTTTATAAATACTAGTCTCATTAATTTGCATTATAGATATAATTAATGTTTATAAATTCGCACAGAGTTCCTCCGGAAATTCCAACTTGAGCTGGCATAGCATAACCATAGTGGCAACATTTTAACCATGTCACATTTTTCTGAGAACAAGTCGAGTTCCGATGACGATTAAAAGAAAAAGCATATTTGCTGGTACCTACCAATTCATATCTGATGAAACAAACAAAAAAACAAAAATAACGAAGGACAACCGGATCGGTCACTTTATAAGTGAAAATTATTTGGGAAGAGTGTTTGATCATGCACTTTTAATTATAATTGTTATTTTCTATTTATTTTTTTGTGGATTTTTTTTATTATACAATTTATATTTATAAATTAGTAAATACAGCAAAGTAACCGATATCTACCTTGCTACTGAATTTGACAAATCGCTGGTGTACTTTGTAATTCTCCATGATAAACTCTTTTTCCTCCATTTTGGACCTGAAGATATAAATAATATACATATGTAATCTATTTAAACATTTTTTAAAAAGGTCATATTTGTTTTTCTTTTATTGGTTTGTGCATAAATAGTACCGTTGGGTTTCTAATTTGAATTGTCATGTCAGTGCCTTATGCATATGGATATAAGAAGATGTTGTATGAGTGCCAATGAGACAACTCTCCATCCAAGTCACAGTTTGTAAAAAGTAAACCATTACAGGTCAAAGTACGGTCTTCAACGCGGAGCCTTGGCTCACACTGAACAGCAAGCTACAGTACTGATGTAGCCTACTTCAAGGTATGGAGTTTGCGTATTGTTGAAGGCAGTTAGGTGACATCAACCTTATTTGGTCTCTGATGGATGGTTGTCTTATTGGTAATCTTAACACATTTTCCTATAATGTTTTTGTTCCTGAAATTATCCCCACCAAAAGGTTATTTATAAACAATTAAGCATCTTAATATTTTTGTCTAAATATTCCATTTTATTTTCGTTTATGCATATCTATTAATCTCTAATATTGTTAGCACTCGATTATAATGTTTTTCGTAAAATATATTATACATGTATGTGTCAATTTGATTTGAAGTAAATTTCTACCATTTGATTTTAAGGGGTAGAGAAATATTTTTTAAAAGGAAGAATGAAGCAAAGTAGTTAGAACACAGACCAAAAAATGAATAAAACGAACACCCAAAATATACCAGGTCTTTGATCAAAAAGTACTTAAATTTCAGGACACACCCAAGGAAGATAAAAACGGGTAGTTTCATTTTTAATAACACCCGATTTTTGTTGGGATTCGTGTTGCTCAGTCTTTTAGTCTAATTTCTTTATGGTTTTGTTGGTCAGTCTTCGATGTATGAGCTTTGGTTCTTCCTTTATTATCCTCCAACCTTTTTTTTCAAATAGCCCGAAAATAAAACCCAGAATCCTTTCATCAATCTTTCTTAAAACAATCTCATAATTAAGATATGATAAAATATTAATCTTGTATATATAATTACCAGTTACAAATGGTTTGGGTAAACCGTCTGTCCCAACCTTCATATCTGGAAGACCACATCTCGGTGTGTTCATTTTTTCTATAGTAGCATCGTCTAACTGTCCTGTTACCGGGAGTTTGTTAAACTTTTGGAAGGCTCTGCAATTTATATTAGTTAAAATTATTATTGTCATTGATTATGTCTGTTTTTATTTCATCAACATTTATTTTGAATCGAAAAATGGGTACGAGTTTAGAGAACATACTACTATATGCAAAGTCCAATAACATATTATGTATAATAGTAATTTGTGGCAGTAAACACCCCTTGATTACTTAAACTGGACCCCCGTTGTGTTCACTTATCCAGGGGCGGATCCAGCCATTTATAAAAGGGGGGTTCCAACTATATGTCCCCATTCAAATGCATTGATCGTCAAAATAAAGGGTGGGGGGTCCAACCCCCGGACCCCCCCCCCCCCCCCCCCCTGAATCCGCCACTGCTTATCGCTACCGTGACTCGGTGCGGAGATTTAGATGGGATGGCGGACCAGTTTATTGGTGATAATTGGGCATACCTTAAAAAAATGTATGGCAAGGTACCACATGCCATGCCACTACGTGATGCACCACGTGATACCATGTTTAACAGTATGCCGATTATTGTTGTTAAAATAAAAGATGAAAAGTTTTTCGTTACGTTTTCCTTTAATCTGTTTCACGTACTATTACAATTATATTATAGAAGGTAAAGTGGGATTTAATTTTTATTAAATGATTTAATGAGTGAGCAGAGATGTGAATCGTGGAAAAATCAAATTATCAATAAATCATAAAAAATAATTCATATAAAATAGAAGATGTGGTATGAATGCCAAAGAGACAACTCTTCACAAGAGACCAAATGGCACAGAAATTAACAGTTATAGGTCAGTTTATTTACAACGAATTTGCAATTTAATTGAAAAACTGCAGCTGTGACTGACAACGTTCCGTTATACTTTCTGTTTAAAGGACCTTTCGACATGTTCGAGATCATCTACAGGTTGTCATATCATTGTTAGCTAATTATAAGCGAGGACACAGGAACTGAATTCTCATCAGATAGATAAAATTGTAAATTACAAAACATATACATGTATATTTAGTTGTCCTAGTATTTAAATAAACTTATAAACAATTCTATTTTGTAACATAAAAATATGGCAAATGGGAAATTTAAGTTATTTAATATTTATTTGAAACGGATATGTAATAAGTAATATATGTATTTGTAACTTTTAATTCATAATAACAGGAAGAGTATAATTCGATTTCGATCCCGGAATATTGTTTTAATAAGTAAGAATTATGCAAAATGTGGGCGTTTCCGTTCTGACTTTATAACTTTCCGAAATATACGAAAATGTTGTTTTTTACAATATAAAGTGCACTCCAAAATAATAATTCGCATGGAAAAATAAAGGACATTATGAAATGCAATTAAACAAAACAAAGCATAATGATTAACAAACTACAAGAAGAGTAAACCCTAAAGGTAAAAATAAAAACAGTAGGTAATAAATAAACAACAACTAAAAAGGAAAGAAAAAAACAATATACCCTTTCCCAACCAACAAGAATAAATTTATAAAAAAAAACCAACACACACATACCAGACGAGATACAATAATAAAGGTAAATGAAAACCAAAAAGAGGATAAACATGATACAATTTCTTATATATAATAAAAAAAAAACTACGACAAAATTTATTAATTTTAAGAAATGAATGAGAACCTATATCGATTGCAACACTATTTTCCAGAATTCTAATTTGAACCACGTCGAAAAGAAATTTATAGTCCGTTCTCGTTTAATAAATATAGTCTCGACTTAGAACCAGGAAAAAATCATTGTTGAATTAGCATCTTAATATATCTCCGGTATCTTACTTTAGAGATTCTGTCCTCTCGGCGGTTGAATGTAGTTTCAATGATTTAGCAGGTGCCATGTAACCGAATTTTTCCAGGTAACTCTGAAAATGAATAACACGAAAAGTGTCAGTAACCTTTTAAGACTAACAATTAAGACAAAACTTATTAATAAACTTTTTTGTACAGATGCATTAGTTGAAGATATTCCCATTTATAGTACAAGAGGTACGTGTACTTTATTTTTTTTCCATAGTAATCTATTACATTTGTAAAACAGTAAGTAGAGGAACTCATGATAAAAATAACCAAACGAGTAAGACTAAAATGATAAGAATAATTTGAAATCAATATCAGTTCATATATTTTCAAAAGCTTTAAACAGCGATATCTACAAGAAACACTCACATTTATAAATTGATAAAATGAAATATTTCTTTTTAAATTCAGTATTCTTTCTCTCTGGCATTTCGAGCTGCCTGTGTGTGAAATATTTGCCACTGGATGTTAAAAAAAACCCAACAAACAACCAATCAATCTCAGTATGAAGGATGTGTATGTCCTAAATGCAAGAAAGGCAATTCTTGTTTAAGCAAAGAAATTCAGATTATATCTTATGAATTGTATAAAAATTTATTGAGTGTAACGGCGTTGAACAAATTACATTTTGTATAAAGCGCGGAAGAGGTGCTTTATATTTAGAATGTGCGTACGATCAACACTTTGACAACCCATAAAAATTCAAAAAGGCGCATTCATTTCTTATAATTACATTTATTTGCTACAAGGCACATCAAGCATTTGCTTTCAGTCAATTTTATAATTCTTTTATCAGTCAGCTTTGTAGAGATTTTAATGGTGTCACGTAAAGAACCAGATACGGAATCGTATGAAACTATAATGTAATGAAGTTCTTAAAAAATAATAACCTTTTAAATTTATGTTTTATCTCCAAAATGTTTTCGAGTGGCTGTGATTGCTGAATTATTAATAAGTTAGATTGATTAAGATTGGTCCTTCCTATTAATTAGAAAGATACAATAGTGTGGCCTTTTTAATCGTCTTCGCTTGGTCGCAAGCTGTAGGTAGCGTGGCCTCTAAATGGAATTCAATGGACATAATGTTGCTATTTGTCGTTGCTTTTTGCCATTATCAAATCCTTAATGTTTACATAAATAAAAATAAGTATCCCTTATTAATAAATTCTTAAGTTGATCTTTAGAAGTAGACATATACTTACATCCACTACATTATTGTCGCCATTAATTACGGCTCGGACTTGTCTGTGCTTGTATATTCCATGACATAAACAGTTTACAAAAAGTCCAATAAAAATTATCAATCTCATGTTTTTTGTTTATAATTATTTTCATTAATGACACTTTGTAAATGTGTATCGTTTTATACTAACAAAAGACGGATTAATTAAGATCCGTCTTTGGTCATCAGATTACCATTTTACAAAGATTCAGAGGCTCAGGGATACATAAATATCCTGTTATGGTCATTTTGTCTATTAGAGTACGATTGTATTTACGTAGGGTTAAAAAAATCGAACAATAAGGGATTAAATAAGGGATTAACTTATAATAAAAAACAGTCAGGATTTATGTAAAACAAACTTATTAAATATAATAGTTAATACTGGTGTTATTAAATATTGACAATTGAACGTAATTAACTGAAACGGACAAACGTTTGCGAAATATATTCATGTAAACACGCATGAGTCACACAGACAAAACACATAATTACGTGAAAAGACACTTAAACAATTTTACGTATACCAACGATTGATTGTTTGGTTGCTTAACGTCCAGTAGCATATATTTCATTCAAGGATTTACTATTGAAAAAAAAAATGTCACTAGAGTCATATAGCTGACTCCTTGATTCGTTTCATGAAAGAGGTATAGTCACTTTACCCGGAATACACATCAGAAATAAAATAAGATTTGATATGATTGATAAAGTTTTAAATATTTAAATCGTTTCCATAATTCACTGCATCACAGTTTCGTGTGTGAACATCTTTAAACCTCCGCTTAATACTATAAAACACTATCTTATATTATACTTCATGTCAAAATGCGGGATTCTGATTGGTTAATACGAGGGAGACAAATTACTCTATCCCATGGCAAATACTCTATTACCCTTCACGCTTGATTATTTGTGCGCTTTACTAAATAGGGATGATTGTTATGTACAAGACGTCATAGTTAATTACTTTGAATTCGAAATTTAACAGACAGCAATAACAGAACATTCAATATAATAAATTAAATAACACATAGCTGAAAGGGTGATAGAGCAGATTGTTACCCCTCGAAAATACATTGTCAACCTTGGCTTCGCCGCGGTTAACAATGTTTTCTCGGGGTAACAATCTGCTCTATCACCCTCTCAGCTATGTTTTATTTATAAAATATTCTGGGCCCGTATGCATAAAACATCTTAACTTAATTAAGTGTTCCTTAAACTTAGATTTCACTTAGAATTACCTTAGTTAAGTAAAATTCTTAAGTCACATGCATACAATTACTTAAGCCTTCACTTAACTTAGGAATACTTAATTCGGAACGTTTCTCTAATTACCGTATGATATATGTGTTAGCTCATCGCATGTTCTCATCCGTGTAAAAGTTTGTTTTGACTATTCAAATTGATTGAACAATGCATTCTGTTATTGAGAACTGGGGTTAAATTGATGTTAGTGTGTAAAAGAATTGAATATACGTAACCAACGAAATTGTACAAAAAAAATGCCAAACTGGCACATAAGAGAATAGGTTCTTTTGGGAGGAAATTTTAAACATATTTGTAATGTGAAAAGGGCTTGGAAGGAAATAAAAAATACATAACAACATAATAAGTAAAGAAAATTGCACGAGGAGAGATTCTTAAGAGATCCAAAAAGAAGTGGGACAATTTATGCATGGAGAGATAAACGTAAAATATCAAGATATTTCGAAATTATCCTCTAGCAATTTTTTTGTTCATAGCAAACAAAAAACTTTGGTCACATGAGGAGTTGCTAAATGAATACTCAACATTATCTTGTAGAAAATCATCCAGCTTGATAATGGTGTATGTTAGTAAAATCTTTATTTAAAAAATAGTTACAAATCATCGAACATTCATCTTTCACGAGTGTTGCTGGATGGAGGGGGTGGGTTTTTTTCTGGGGATAACTATATATCTTTTAACTCTAACAATACATGCAGGATCAAGATTTTTTTTTAATCAATATTTTAGAAAAAAATTTCATTATTCATTTTTGAATTTTGAATAATGAAAAATGAAAAATGGACGTACTTCAGCGCTCCATTATTCATTTTTCATTATTCAAAATTCAATAATGAAATTCAAATTAATCTAAGAAAAAATAAATCAAAACACTCTTTGAAATTTTTATCTTTATTTATTTATTTAGTTTCGGAGGATAAACTAGTGGGTTTCCCTAACTGTTTTTAACAGAAATTCCTTGTTTTAACGTATGGGACGACCTGAATACCAAAACATATATAAAAATTAAAAATACTATACGTTGTAATTTATTTTATTTTCACAGGATCTTTGCTATTCTTCATCCCCTCATTATAGATATAGCTTATCGATTGTGCCGCAATGCCAAGTAGAGGGGTTACGTAGGACTAAATGCCAAAATACGCGTAAAAATTAAGAAATAGCCAATTTTGAATAATGAAATTGATATTTTGAATAATAGAATGGACTGCTGCGACCCTTCAGCCCCTAATTACAGATATACCTTATACGTCATTCGAAAGCTTATCAATAGAGGAACAAAAAGTATATAATCAATATGTCCCGCAACGCCTATTGGAGGAGTTTCATAGGACCTAAATGTCAAAATATGCGTCAACAATAAGAAATAGCTTATTTTGAATAATGGAATGGACTGCTACGACCCTTCAGTCCCTAATTACAGAGAAACCTTATACACCATTCGAAAGCTTATCGACAGAAGAACAAAATGGTTATAATCAATATGTGCCGCAATGCCCATTAGAGGGGTTACGCAGGACCTAAATGCCAAAATACGTGTGAAAATTAAGAAATAGCCAATTTTGAATAATGAAATGGATATTTTGAATAATGGAATGGACTGCTGCGACCCTTCAGCCCCTGATTAAGATATACCTTATACGTCATTCGAAAGCGTAACAATAAAGAAACAAAAGGTATATAGTCAATATGTCCTGCAACGCCTATTAGAGGAGTTTCGGAGGACCTTAATGTCAAAATACGCGTCAACAATAAGAAATAGCTTATTTTGCATAATGGAATGGACTGCTACGACCCTTCAGCCCCTAATTACAAAGAAATCTTTTACACCATTCGAAAGCTTATCTACAGAGAAACAAAATGGTTATAACAGATATGTGCCGCAATTCCCATTAGAGGGGTTACGCAGGATCTAAATGCCAAAATACGCGTGAAAATTAAGAAATAGCCAATTTTGAATAATGAAATGGATATTTTGAATAATGGAATGGACTGCTGCGACCCTTCAGCCCCTAATTACAGATATATCTTATAGATCATTCGAAAGCTTATCAATAGAGGAACAAATGTGTATAGTCAATATGTTCTTCAATGCCCATTAGAGGAGTTACGGAGGACCTAAATGTCGAAATACGTGTGAACATTAAGAAATAGCTTATTTTGAATAATGGAATGGACTGCTGCGACCCTTCAGCCCCTAATTATAGAGGAACAAAAGATATATAATCAATATGAGCTGCAATGCCGTATTCAAATGATAGTAAGGACAAGAATCTTACAAATATGCTTGTAAAAAAATACCAGTAAAAGTTTCACTGCCAACTGATGCTCCCCGAACTACGTTTTATGTACATATGCTTGCAATTATAGTGAGAAAGAAGCAGGAACCTTCATTGAAAATATTTTGTCTGTATACATGTGTTGCAATTAATAATGGGATATTGTACCGAAAGCCAAATCAAAAAATTTCTATTTGAACTAATAGTAATTTTAACCTATTCCCTATATCAACCATCTGTATAAGTTTCATTCCACCAAGCAAGATAAATCTGTGCTACTATCTGTATACCATTTTTAAGCTCACCTGGCCTAAAAAGCAAAGTGAGCTTTTATCATCACTTGGCCGTCGTCGTCCGTCGTCGTTAACTTTTACAGAAATCTTCTCCTCTGAAACTACTGGGCAATTTAACCAAAATTGGCCACAATCATCATTAGAGTATCTAGTTTAGAAATATGTCTGATGACCCCACTTGCCAACCAACATGGCCGACATGGCTTAAAATAGAACACAGGAATAAAATGCAGGTTTTGTCTATTGTGAAAACTGCTACTAATAGAGTCAATAGAGAAAAATAGACAAATAGAAAGAGGTTGAAATGTTCAAAATGATGAGGTCTACTTATTATCTTTTATTTCAAAACGTTTGGCTAATATTCCAAAAATGATCAAAGCACATAGTCGAAATCGTCAGACGACTCTTCATTCGAATTATTGTCCTCTAATGACGTTTTTTTTTATCAATTTGAATTACTGTAATAGATAGATAAAAACATAAAAAAAGCAAAAATGATCAGCAAGTCAAGTACTACAAATAAGTTTTCATAGAAGTTACAGTCGATTTTTACCAATATTTTACGTTTTTGCCTACTATCTTGAAAACTATAAAAAAAAAAATAAAAATAGATAGACACTTAAAAAGCAAAAATCAGTGTATATAATGTGCGAATCCTGAAATACCACTTTTACTGTATCCGTTATGCATTTCTAATATAGAATGATAAATAAATAGATGACTTTTGAATAAAATAAGAAATAATACATAATGTGTACTGTTTTTATAAATTCATGATATAGGTATGAGATGCAGACGGGTTTTTATCGCGCCTACAGCCATCCGGGTGTAAAATTGATATACAAATAGATCAATATTAAGAATAGTTCACGAACAGAGCGTGCAAGAGATTGAAAAGCAGCTAAGTTTCATTTGCAGAAAAATGTACCTTTTAACATAATTATTAATGTTGTATAACTTAAAACAGGTTTTGTTATTCAGCTTGTTGATATTGAATTAAATTCCACTATGTTGTTTTCGTTATGCGATTCATGTTAACTGTCGAATAATGATACTAGATTTTCATTTTCACTGTAGGGGCGATTCATTTCTATTGTACATGCGATGCATTTTCACAGAAGGAAATTAATTAATTTTCATCATATAAAGTCTTAATTCAGCCGACTCTCTAGCAAAATTTGTGAAGTCAAAAGGATTGATATATATGCATACTTTGTGAGTGAAAATCTGAGGTAATATATCAATAA